TTACTATTTTCATTTTTAAACATAATATAAAACTATTATGGTATAGTAAGTTCGTCATTATGCTGATATTTATTTGGCATCTTAGTCATCTAGTTGTCATCATCATCAGCTCACTACAGTCCACTGCTGGACATAGGCCTCTCCTAACGCACGTCATGCTCTACAGGTCAGTCGCCATGGGTGGATCTTTAACGCAGCTCAGTTATAATTATAATAACGTCTCGTTCAAAGACAGTCGCCCAAAGAACGTCCATAAGGCGCCATTTTGAAATTCATACAAAGAAAAAAAACGTTAGATTAATTTCATGATTATGACCTGTCAATTTTGTATAAGTGTTTGTTTAAGGAACAATGGCCCGTTATTGTCCCTATCATTATTTTAAGGTTATACCTAACTAGATTAAGTAGGCGCCAACTTAAATTATACGCATACTATGTCACGGAGTCTCTAAATACATACCTATATGTAATAATGAGACATAATATACTAATTATTATTGCGTACTGTTAAATAGCAAAACGTATTACAACACCAACTTTCCCTTCGGTCACAGTACTGTTCCGCGGAAGTTCTGCAAGATAGAGGAACATATATGGTAGGGAAAAAATTATAACATAAGAAAAATTACTTTCATAAGCGGCTAAAATGTTCTACATGAATAAATGAGTTTTGAATTTGAATTTAAAGTAAGAAGTGAGAAAAATATACAGCAAACTAAATTAACAGGTGCAGTCAAACAAGTTCAGGCTCACAGATACAATCCAAACTACAAAATAGAAAAGAGCAGAGGGAAATAGGAAAGCTGATAGACCAGTAAGATGGTGACCAATAATGTTGTGGACTATATAATAATAATAATAAGCGTAGAAAACCAGCAAAAGGCTGATAAACTGTAATGTAAATAATAGAATAAAATATAGAACAAAAGATACGTATACATAAATTTGAGTTCTAAAAACTATATAAAAAAAGGAACCTTTTAAACTACGTATAAAATAGCAACATTTCAAATTTCAAAAATTTCAAAATTTCAAAAATTCTTTATTTAGATAACACCATTTTAAAATTACATTATACAGTTGTTGAAGACTCCTTTTAAGCATAAAGATGCCTGTGCCAGGAGGCTCCGCTCTTCCATACCTTATATCACCACTTTTGTAAAATGTTTCTTGTTTATTATACTATAAATAATTAGTTATATAATTCAATTTTAAAGTACATACATTATAGGAAACATTGTATTCAATCTATCTTAAAAATTCTCTCTAATAAATAGGAATATATATACATATGTGTGTGTGTGTGTGTGTGTGTGTGTGTGTGTGTGTGTGTGTGTGTGTGTGTGTGTGTGTGTGTGTATGTGGGTGTGTGCGTGTGTTTGTGTGTGAATGTAATCTTGCACAACAGTTTTAGCATTGATAACAATGATGCAGCAGTAATTCAGTTTTATTATAATTTAATGTTTTTATCCAATCTATTAGTATATTTTTACATTCACGATAATTTTTAGGGTATATAGCTATCTTTTCATTTATTGTATTATACAAGAGTGCAGTTTGCTTTTCACATTGTATACTCGCGAATTTGGTTTTCGTTTTTGGCACTGATACAACTTTAAGTTTCCTTCTTTTATTTTCTAAAGCTGGGTCGTATGTAATTTGTTTATGCTTTTTTAAAACTGTTTTTAATATGTACAGTTTTCTCACAGACAAAAGATCCGTGATCCGGTATAAGTCATCAGTAGGAAATCGTCGGTTTTTCAAGTACATTACCTTGAGCAGAGCTCTTTGAGCTCTTTCTATTTCTAGGAAACGTGACTTGAACGCACCGCCCCATACAGGAATACAATATATAATTATGGATTGTACCAATGCCATATATATTTTATTTAAAAGATTGGGTGAGCTGTGTGGGGATGTCTGATTACTTGGTACAATATGCCTCAATGTTTTGAACATCCAAATAAACTTCCTAATCCTTGTGGAGACTTGTTCTATTTGGGGATACCAAGATAAACGCTGGTCAACTATAACACCTAAGTATTTTATATTACTCACTTTGTTTATAGTAGGGCAACTACACTTTATTCGCGGCGACTTAGATGCAGTGTTGGAAATAGCAGAACCATCTAATATCATAGAGTAAGAATTACAATTATGGATTTTAATATTGAAATCTTGTTCTGGCTGCGAGTTATTATAAATACCAAAACAAACGTAATTTGTTTTGCTAGTATTTAGGGTAAGAAGATTGTACTTTAACCACTTAGCAACTTTAGCCATACCAAGCTCGGTGTTCCTTTTTACAATACTCCAGGTAGGACCAGTGAAGACAATGACAGTATCATCGGCATAAGATAAAATTTTGGCATTATTTAAATTCATGTTGCAGAGATCATTAATATAAATAAGAAATAAAGTAGGTCCTAAGACACTTCCTTGCGGGACTCCACATGATACGTTTACATCTCCGCTGTTATATTGCTCCAGTTTTACCCTTTGTTTTCTGTTATATAGGTAATCTTTGAATATAGAGAGTTGTAAACCTCTAACACCAATCCTTTCCAGTTTCTTCACAAGGACTGGTAGAGAGACAGTGTCAAAGGCTTTTTTCAAGTCCATGAAAACAGAGAGACATTTTCTCCCTTTATCAAGGTTATCTGTCACTAATGAACATAAAGACCCCACAGCATCCTCGGTCGATATTCCCTGCCTAAAACCAAACTGGAAAGTGGATATTATATTGTACTTTTCTAAATAATTTTGAAGTCTAGAGTTTAAAAGTTTTTCTAATATTTTTGCTAACACTGATATAACCGAAATAGGCCTATAGTTACTAATTTCGTCTCTCCGCCCTCCCTTATATATAGGAGTAACTATAGATTGTTTTAATGCAGATGGGAAGATACCTGTTCTAAAACAGAGGTTTGCTAAATGAGATATGATTGGAGTGATTTCCTTATTAATAAATTTTAAATAACTAGTTGAGATATTGTCCCATCCCGGAGCACTGTCTGACTTAAGATTAACAATGATACGATTTACTTCTTCAGGATCTGTGTCAATAATAACAAAGGATTGAGATTGGGTTGGTAGCTCGTTGAGAAATTTATCCAAATCGTTTTTTGTTATATCAGCCAGAACGTTCTCAGCCAGTTCTTTACCAATGTTAGCAAAATAGTTGTTTATGTAATTAGCAGATTCGTTTTCTGTTGACTTTATCTGCATTAGTTCATGATTAATTCTATTTGTTTTAGATGTGTAGGTTAATGATTTTATGTTTTTCCATAGCAGTTTATTATTTTTAACAGACTCCGATATTAAATTTCTTTCATATTTTCTTTTCAGTTTTTTAATGAGGTTATTACAATAATTTCTGTAACGCGTATATGTAATTTTTTTAATTAAATTATATGGGTCTTCTTTGGATTGTTTTTGTAGCCTATTACGGTTTCTAATGCATCTTAGTATGCCTGTGGTGATCCACGGCTTTATATTTCTTTTACTTTTAGGAATTTTTATAATGCTAGAATTCTCTTTAATTGATTCCATTAGTATTTTAATTAAATGGTTTGTTATATCATTAGGGTTATCTTTAAAAAGCAAGTCAGACAGATTTTTCTCTTGAATATATTTAAGAGCATTTTCAAAATTAACTTTGGTTCGGGTTTTGGATGTACATTGATGTGTTTTTACTTTGGATAGTGATAGAAAAGTTGTAAAGTGGTCAGTGGTGGTGGTTTGAAGAATAGCAATAAAAGCAGAAAACTTTTTATTTTTAATTTTTAACATAGTGTGATCTAGACAGTTCTGTCCACGTGTGGGTAAGGTATGTCCAGGTAAAATACCATAAGCAGATAACATATTTAAATAGTACGTCCTATTTTTGTATTCGTATGTGTTTTCTGTGTCTTTATATTTGATATTAATATTTATGTCACCAGTAATTATAATATTGTCCTGTGATTTCAGGGTGTCTAGGTGAGTACATAGCGAGTTAATAAAGTTTTCCGCATTATTCGTAGATGGGGACCGATACATGCATATAAGGGTATTATTTAGTACGTCCACCTGAATGCCCGTTGCCTCCGTTAATTTAACCTCCACTACATTACATTTTAAATTTTCTTTTATATAAACAACGACACCGTCACTCTGATTTAATTGATATGAGGTCGTGTAAGAGTTGTAGTTGTTTAGTTTCGGGATAGGTTTGTTATTATTAAGGTGACATTCGGTTAAAACTATAACATCAGGTTCAAAATTAAGGGTTGATAAGTTTATCAAAAAATCATTGAAATTACAGTATATGCTTCTAATATTTTGAGAAATTACTGTAAAGTCTGTTTTGTTCGTTTCATAAAGTTTGGAGAGGTCTGTACAGTCACATGTAATAGCTTTGGCAATATCCAAACTATCTATATGGTTTTGAGATTCTAATAAATTAGACATTAATTTGTAATACTAGTATATAATACACAGTATGTCATATGATAGGTGGGGTTGTTTTTATTATAATATGTATATATTTGGCCTAGTACAGCATTAATATGGCGTGTATACACTACAATATGTATGTTTATGTAAAAATTCATTATAGTGAAACGTTGTAAAAATTTGTTATTTAATTTAGATTTTGTCTTGTATACAATTATTGTTGTATAATTATTTATTTTTAATACATATGTGTAAATAAGTTTATAGTTATTTTGTACAATATGAGTATTTTCGTGATTATCAATTGTTGTGATCAATTGTAGAAACTTATGAAATAGTTGTGATATTAATTTTTGGTTTTGTGTACAAATTGTTTTGTATGTTATTGTATATGTATAATGTATAATTGTAAGTGTGTATGTGTAAATAAGTTTAAATTTATTTTGTGTGCGTGTGGGACGCATAAGCGATATAAAATAATATAACAGAAGACATTCACCTACACTAATCGAATAAAAGAAATTATAAAAATGTTCTTGGTTACAAACATATTTGATATATAGTCATATGTTAGAAATTAGCTGTTCTATTTGCGATTCAGTCCTAATCGATATAACTGGTGAATTATCTTCCTTTCTTACATACACCTTTCCATAAGCCGTCCAGCAGAATTTATACGATTTCGACTTGACTAAATCACGAGCAAGGAAATATAGGCGTGCTGCCTTAGCGGTCAGATGTTCTGTTACGAAGACAGGAGTGTGCTCGGATGTTCGGAAGCCAAGGTTCTTGGCACACAGCTTCGTTTTGTGTTTGATATTATGTGCCTTACAGGACTTTAGAATTTCATTCTTCAGTAATGTAGAAGAGGTTTCGACTACGATTGGAGTATTTTTGACGGTTTCCTTCTTTGGCCGAACTCTGTATACATCTCTGATTGCGGATTTATCTATTTGACAGCCAACCGTGTTAGACAAATATGTAACCATACTTATCAAGTCTTCTTTTGTTTCATTTTGTTTTTTAGGTACATTTTTAATTTCAAAATTTGCTTTCCTACTATCCTGATGCATATTTTCTAACTTATCCTCCAGAATCGTTATATATTTTCTATCCTCTTTCATCTTATTTTCTAATAACTCGATTTTTTTCCTGTATTCTTCATTCTGTGCAGATAAGAAGGTGACTGATTGTTCGATATTTGCACTTGAGAACTGTATCTCTTTTAAAGTAGCGGCATTTTTCTTAAATTCCTTCTCTTGTGAAGTCATTATTTTTGTGAACATTGATTGCATCTCTTCCCTAAGTTTTGAAATTTCACTTCCATAGTCATCATCTCTCTTTCTTTTAGAACGACTTGTGACAAAGTTTGGTGGCGTAAGATTAGCCTGCCCAACTCTGTGCATTTCTGTATCTGATAGTGATTTATCCAAATTACTATCCATTTGTAAAGCTACGTTAATATACGTTACAAACTTTCAACAAAGGTATAAGTATACTCTGTTTATTATATTGTGATCTTTGTAATAAATACTGTGATGGTACTTAGTATGTATGACTCATGGACACCCGTTTACGCTCTGTACTCCTGGTACTCACTTGTAGTCAACCGGAACAGCGAAGTTTATGAATCACTCAATAGTAATAATAGTAAACAGCATTAGTCCCACTTCTATTTCAAAGGGGTGGAGCTTCACAATTATAACACTTGAATTCCAACATGCATTCAATACTCGCCTAGGATGACACACTGGGTGCAAAGTTCAGTGGGCGGAGCATTTAAGTTGAAAAGAGAGTAATTATTGTTGCAATTTATGCATGCGCGTGAATGTGATACACAAAGTTGACATACCAGTAGGAGGAGCCAACTGATTATTCGCACCAGGACTGGATGAGTGCCACGACAATCTTTGCTGTACTTGTCCGACACCTCTTGCTTCTTATGCGATCCTATTTTTATGTTTGATTATTTTCACTGAATTTTGTTGATATTTATTTAATTTTAACGTAATATAAATAAGTGGGCGCGTGTACACCGTTTGGTGGTCCGGGGGGAAGAACATTAGTACCTCACACTGTGTATTCTGGGCAAAAGGAGCTGACTCAGCTGATGCTGTGAGCGTAATGTTTACACGCACGCTGCACAGCGCAGAATTTCAGTCAGTCCCTCTCATTTAACGAAATATAAAATTATGCGAGCTGCTTAGCAGTCCATTAATAATGTTTTTACAGGCAAAACATAGATAATTTAATAAAAAAAAAATTTTGAACTATCGCATTGCAAAATAAAGAAATAGGATGTGTTAGCTATCTCAGATTAGCTAGCTGAGAAGATGTACATACATATCTATAAATGTATTAAACATATTTATGTATAGGAAATGACTGGTTAACTATAGGCAAAAACAGAGAATATTGGAAAAAGAGGAGGACCCTTCTCTTGAAGATGGGTACAAATAGCATAATTGAAATACTATCAAGTAGATCATAAAAAACTACATTATATACTAACCATATTCTACTTTTATTTGTACAAACTACTGATCTATATGGAAATAAAAATGCTTTATTATTATTGTTATTACAAAACCAACTTTCCCTTTTGTCACCGTACTGTTCCGCGGACGTTCTGCACCGATACCGCTCCGGAACTGTTCCGCGGTAACAGTGATTGGAACTGTTATTTCTCACAGGTCGAAGTTCACGATATTGATCAGTAAGAGGGACGTTACATTATGAAATCAGTTGAGCGCAGTGATGACTGACTCATCTGTCATATGTGCTTCGTTTGAACTGATCTGCTGGACACTACGACAGATTTAATCTTATTGCATATTTATATTTGACCCAAAAAATTAGTGCTTGTTGGTAGTTTGTATTCACACGTTTCGACTTGTATAATGTAAACTTACAAGGATTGTTTAAAAGAGCAACACACAAGTTTCTTGCTCGTTCTTTTTGTGATGAGACAGCTTTCCGAACGAGTGGTAGATAAAAAACAAATTGATATGACTATTCAAAACGTGCTTAAATTAAGTTTATTTGAATAAATGATTTTCTATTTCTATTTCTATTTACACTTATTTAGTTAATCAACTAGTTGGTTGTGTATTTAATATTTTGACTACACTGAATTTTTTTTTACAAAAATATAAACTCTGTGTTACAAGATTTGTTTAAAAGAGCAACGCGCAAGTTTCTCCCTCGTTGTTCTTGTGCCTAGACTGCTTTACGAATGAGTGGAAGTTTTAACAAAATAAGTGACATTTCAAGAGTTCTTAAATTGAAATTTATTTGAATTAAGGATATACTATTCTAAAAATATAATGGACTAAATGATGTTTAGTAGAAGTTTCGATAGTCCCAGAATCTGTGGTTCTGTGGTCATACAAAAGTGCTTAAATTAAGTTTATTTGGATAATTGATTTTCTATTCTATTCTATGTTCTATATATTATTTCAATAATTTGTTCTAAATTAATAATAAAATACATATTCAATTATTTATTACTAGTATTTACATATATATTCTATAATTTGTTTAGTATTTAGTATAGTTTTTGGTCCGCTCCGTTTAGTTTAAAATTAGATGGCACTGTGAAATTTGTTCACAGATATATACAATCTAATTTATCTGCCTTTTTGATAGAAGTAATTGCAAATATAAATAGAATATCTAAAATAAAATTAGGCTGCGTTATTGCGAGTCAAAATCGGTCTAACCGTTTCAGAGATTAACGAAAACAAACAAACAGATAGACAAACAATCTAACAATCTAACTAACTTTTCTAATTATTTTTTTTATATAAGTACCGTATATACATTCAATTACATTTAGTGGAAAGCTGGTAATTTGAAATTTAAAAACAGACACTCCAATTTCATTTATTTATATAGATGTATTGATAGTCTAAGAATATTGTACATTCGATCTATTTTCATTTCTATTCTCTATTCATGACTGTAAAATGCAAATATATATCAACACTAGCTTTTGGCCGCGGTTTCGCTCGCGTTAGTTTATCCCCTTAGGGGTGGAATTTATCAAAATCCTTTCGTAGGGAATGCCTACGTCATAGTAGCTTTATGCATGCAAAGTCTCAGCCCGATCGGTTCAAAATTGACAAAGTTTCATACAAACTTTCATCCCCTGTTTTATCCCCTTGGGGGTAGAATTACTCAAAATCCTTTCTTAGCGAATGCCTACGTCATAGTAGCTTTATGCATGCAAAGTCTCAGCCCGATCGGTTTAATCCAATTCCATTAAAATCCGTTCTGTAGTTTTTGCATGACATAGTAACAAACATACATCCATCTGTCCATACTCACAAATTTTCGCATTTATAATATTAGTAAGATATATTATCTTTGATTACTAAGTAATTACTTATATGACATCATGTTTATTTCTAAATATCAATAAATAGACACTCGCATACTTCTAGCACGATGCATTTGTAAGTTTATATGTTTTGCCATAAAGATTTTAGTAATTATTGTTTATTTACAATGAAATGGTGATGTAATAATCTGTAATCACAATGTTGATGTTACAAAGTTATCAGATTTTATGTATGTATGTCCCCATTCGCTAAGATTATTTAATTACATGATATTTCAACATAAGGCGGTAGTTTTAGGTTAAGTGCTCAAATTATAACCTTTAACATGAAATACTAGTTATCATGAATCATGTAACAGTTATACTGCCTGTTATATGTACGTTTTATTGACTTATGGGGATGTTACGTTATCAAATATTGTATTAAAATCTTCTAAATATATATAACTCAAAGGAGACTGACATAATAATCTATCAACGCACAACCCAAACCACTGGACGGACCGGGCTGAAATTTGGCATGCAGGTAGATGTTATAACGTAGGCATCCGCTAAGATTAATAATAATATAAGGATTTTGAGTAATTCTACCCCCAAGGGCATAAAATAGGGGATGAAAGTTTGTATGAAACTTTGTCAATTTTGAACCGATCGGGCTGAGACTTTGCATGCATAAAGCTGCTATGACTACTACTACGTACTATACTACGTAGGCATCCCCTAAAAAAGGATTTTGATAAATTTCATCGCTAAGCGGATAAGTTAACGCAAGCGAAGCCGCGGACAAAAGCTAGTAGCTATATTACTGTAAAGTTTCATCGAAATCCGTTCATTAGTTTTTGGAGGAGTTAAACATTCATACTTACAAACCCTCACGTTTATAATAGTATTAAAATTACGATATGTTTTAATTAAATATTGTACCTATTTAAAAGTGCGATAAATAATATGTAAAATTATTTTAAATATGTATTATTGAGGAAATATCGAGAGGGAAATTGCGTTCGTCGACCGGAATTCTTTATATGAAGCAACGTACGGATGCCAGTGTTGGTTGGGAGTTTTGAAGATTAACAGCATCCGCTCATACTGCTAATATTTACTATACCTCCATATTTATATTATAAATAGCAAAATTTGTTCGTCTGATTGTTATTTTTTCACGACTAATCGGCTGATTTAAGACGTGAAGATATGTTGATAAACTGGAAAAAAATCGAAAAAAGAAAGCCAGACGAAATCGCGGGCCACAACTAGTTCTGAATAAATATACTACACTAGCTATTACTCTCGACTTTGTCTTCTTTTATTTATAATTACAATTTAAACAGCGTCATCTAGTCCCAAACTAAGCATAGCTTGTATTATGGGTACTAGGCAATTGATAGAAAGACCTACTTAGATAATTTTTTTTGTAAATACATATATGATATACATAACAAACACCCACACTAATATACTCATACTCATAAATAAAAATATTTGTACCGTGCATGAAATCGAACCCGCGACCATCGGAATTACATTTCAGTATAAATTGATTAACTGGCCAATGTAAGGACAAAATTACCGGGAATGGCAGGCAAAAGAAAAGTAGGACGGCAGAAAAAATGATGGGCAGATGACATAAAAGACATAGCAGGAAAAGACTCGATGCCACGAATTAAAAGAATGAACTGTTATTTTTTTTTTTAATTAAGTATTTTACGGCCCTGGAAATTTCCCTTCAGCCAAACAATTACATTGTACAAATACATAGAGAGAGTTCGCAGAAGATGGAGGAGGCTTTTACCCAAGGGTCCCAAATAAAATGAAAAAAAAACTATATGGTTGTAAAACATTATGAGGATATTAAAACTATAATAATAATAATGAATTGATTATTTCAGATCGTTTCTCTAAAACGACATCGAGAAATTGCATAAGATGAACTGAACCATATCGTATAGGTACTAAGACGAAGTAACGCGGAACTGTCGTAAAGAGCAGCCGATTTGTGCACAATGAGACAATGCATTATGACATCGCTAATTATATGGCACATGTCTCAACAATGACAGGTTGGTTATGAGAAAGTGCGCGTCGGGCGTTCTACACCGGCGC